GAAGATCTTTTAACATCTAAGGGTTTAGCAATTGTTCGAACTGATAATTCTTCTAAATTTTTTTGAATATTTTCCTGTTAATATGCTTCGAAAATATCATCTTTAACCAGCGTTATATCGATATTGGTTATCTAATTATTATCAATTAAAATTTCACTGCTGTACCGTAAATAATATGTTTCACATGAGCTGTTAGACTATATAAACATTACATTGATCATGCCGAAATCAATAACTTATTGAATCGGCCAAATTCCATCTCTGATTGTAATTCATAAAAATACCAATCAGGCTTTCTATTATTAAAGCCTTAAAATATTTTATATCATTTAGGTTTAGTGGACGTGGTTTTCTTACAAGTGGCAGAAGTCTTTAACACATCCATACCTTTGAAATTAAAGATCTTTTAATATCTAAGGGTTTAGCAATTGTTCAAACTGATAATTCTTCTAAATTTTTTTGAATATTTTCCTGCGAATGTGCTTCGAAAATATCATGCTTAACCAGTATTATATCGATATTGGTTATCTGGTTATTATCAATTAAAATTTCACTGCTGCACCGTAAATAATATGTTCACATAAGCTGTTAAACTATCTACGCAAATAATAAATATTACATTAATCATGCCGAAATCAATAACTTATCGAATCGACCAAATAATCATTTAGTCAATTTTTTTACCAGATGTCCCAAAATTTATGAAAACAGCTGTAAGATAAATAAGGATGTATCAAAAAATTTGGGATTCACACATATTTAGCAGTCACATTTCCTATTAACTCACATCTGAAAAGCTTGTCAACGAAGTGACAGAGCGTTCATTATTGCGAAATCAGATGACTTTGTATGATCAGATGACTTTATAGATCACATGTTCAATTTGTCGTTTAACTTGTTATGGTTATTTGTGTACAGCTTTTTCATTTTGTTAGTTTTTTTTGCTTTTTCATTTTTTTTATTTTTCATTATTTGTATTTTTCTTTTTTGTTGATTTTTATTTATTTACTTATTTTATTTTTCTATTTTTATTTTTTTTTAATTTATTTATTTTATTTTTGATCAAGATAATATACATGATTTGTATTTTGATTATATAGTAGGTTTGTACTGAACTGTAATTAAAAATTAAGTAGATGCTTTCTGTGTCAGGCAATAATGGCTAATAACTTATATAATCATTTATTTATAAATATACATTAAGAATTTTTCTTTAATAAGGTCTACTAATTTTCAACAAAGAGGAAAATCAGTTATTTATCTTTCTTATTACTTGATCAACTTTTTTTGGGTCATATTGTGATTACTATATGATTGTTAATTATCTTTTAAATTGATGATTATCTTTTATTTATTAAGTTTTTTTTTTGTTTTTTTTTATTTATTTTGAATTTAACTAATATATATATTTAATAATTTTTGTAACGATTATAATGCAAAATGGTTCAATCAGTTTGTATATTTAGTATAATAAAACTAATTAATCAATAGAGCTGATAAGCTGATTTGCATCTCTACTATATAGTATAACAATGCATCAAACAATCTAATTAAATATATACAGATCTTAAATTCATTTGCTAACATTAAAATTAATGATTAATACAATAATAATAAAATATGATTAATAATAATAAAATAAAGATTTATGTTAAAATTTTTATTTCTTTGAATATTGTAATATTTTCTAAAATAAAATATACACATTTTATAAAACTTTGTTTTTGTCAAATTATAAAACTAAATATATAACAATAAATCATATTGTAAGTAGAGTAGAGAATAGGCCAGGTTAGGTTGGGCTTTGCTGAGCCCAAACTCAAGCCCAGAAAATATTTTTAGGCCCAAGCCTAGCCTATAAAAAAAAAAGCCTGCAACATTTGGCTAGGATGGGCTTACCTAAAATTAGACCCAGCCCAGGTTCAGCCCATTTATTAAATTATTTTACTGCTACTTTTATAATTTTTGGAACACCTGATAAAAATTGACCGAATGATTTTTCAGCCAGTCTAGTTAAGTTATTGATTTTGGCATAATATATGAGCAGATTTTTTTGTGTTACTTTTAAAAATAATCTAATTCTGGTCAATTTGCAGATTATTTGGCCCTGACTTATCAGGTTTAAAACTGATAAACCAGGGTTAAATAATCTGCAAATTTAATCAGAATTAGATCATTTTTGACAGTAATACAAAAAATCTGCCTATATGATCAATACAATGTTTATTATTTACGAAGATAGTCTAAAGCCAGGTATATACATATGTATGTAGGTTTTAAATTGATTACTAATCGATTTGTAAATTGAAACTCATATAGAACATATAGCTTTAAACAACTTCTATTTACAATACAATAGTGCTAATTATTAATCGATAATGACCAGATAACCAATATCAATATAACAAAAAAAATTTTAGATTATAAGTTTGAATAATTGTTAAACACTTAGATATTAGCAGATCATTAATTAGTTGAGTTTTTAAACTATTTTAAAAATATGATTATATTGAAAGACTTCTGCTACTTGTAAGAAAGCCAGTCTACTAAACCTGACTTAAAACTTTAATTAGAGAGAAGCCTGACTGATATTTTTATGAATTACAATCTGAGATAGAACTTTGTAACAGATATTATCAAGTTCAATATGAGTACACATAAAAGCTTAATATAAATTTATTCAAATGTATAATATGTATATATATACAAATTAAATTGTATAAGCTAAGTACATTACATATTAATTATTATGTATCAATATATCGTATCATTATCATTATCAATATATAAAGAAACAAAAACTATAAATTATATTTTACTACAACCATGTCTAAGAATATCAATATTTAATTAATTACAAAATTTTTGTGTAATAGTATTAAACTTTCTGAGAATACTGTATATACGTATATACTATATCTTATATGTATTGTATGTATATATATGAATTAAAAAAAAAATTACTATGTGTTAGTAGTTATTTGTTTGTGATAGTTAAGATTATATAATTTTGTTGGCAATACTAGACTATCTCCATAAATAATAAATGTTATATTGATTATGCCAAAATCAATAATTTAACTGGATTGGTTGAAAAATCATTTGATCAATTTTTATCAGGTGTTTTAGGAATTATAAAAGTAGCAGTAATAGGCCCATTGGGCCTAATCAGGCCTAATATAAAGCCTGGTTCCAGCCCAGTACTTTAGCAGGTCTAACCTAGGTCTGGCCCAAATATTAACAGGTACAAAAATTTAGGTTCAAATTAGGCCCAAGCCTGGCCCAGCCCGCAAATTTCTGGATTTAGCTCAGCCCATTCTCCACCCTAGTTGTAAATATATAATCTGTATAAATAAAAACAATATAAAAATCACAAAAAGAAAATATTGCAAAATCTGAAGAGCTTGAACATATACTTATTTCTAAAACTAGTTCAGCCCAATTTCGTGCTTAGAGATTATATCCAGATAGATATTTCTACTATATGATTATAATAAATTATCTAAATAATCAGGTAATTTAATAGTACTGAGTAGAAAATTTTTTAGCAAATACAATCTTTATTTGTGTTCAGTTTCTGCTTTTAAATAAAAAATACTTAAAAAAAAAAATTAGTTTTGGCAACTGAAAGAGAATCTAATAAAGACAAAAAAAAAAGCTTGTATTTATCCTTAAGACAGTCCAGTCTTATCTTGTATTTGATTGTTGTTTTCAAACAAGAACTACTTAAAAAAAAAAAGTTTAGTCCAGCAACTGAAAAAGAAACTAGTAAAAACAAAAAAAAAAGCTGATACTTATCCTAAAGATCAGCCTGGTTTTATCTTGCATTCAGTCGCTACTTTTAAATAAGAAATATCTAAAGAAAAAAAATTAGTTGCAGTAACTAAAAGAAAAACTTATAAAAGACAACAACAAAAAAAAAAGATAAATACTTATCTTTAAGACAAGCCCAGTCTCATCTTACATTCAATCACTGCTTTTAACCTAAAAAAAAAAAAAAATTAGTTCTGACAACTGAAAAAGAAATTAATAAATACAAAAAAAAAAAAAAAGCCAGTACTTATCCTTAAGACCAGTCTAGTTTTATCTTGCATCTGGTCACTGTTTTCAAACAAGAACTACCTAAAAAAAAAAAAAATTAGTCTGGCAACTGAAAAAGAAACTAATAAAGACAAAAAAAAAAAAGCTAGTACTTATCCTAAAGACCAGCTCAGTTTTATCTCGCATCCAGTTACTGCTTTCAACAAGAAATGCCTAAAGAAAAAAAAAGTTAGTTGTGGCAACTGAAAGAAAAACTAATGAAAGACAACAACAAAAAAAAAAGATAAATACTTATTCTTAAGACAAGCCCAGTCTCATCTCATATCCAATTACTGCTTTCAACTTAAAAAATAAAAAAATTAGTTTTGGCAACTAAAAGAGAAACTAATGAAAGAGAAAAAAAACCAGTACTTATTCTTAAGACCAGTTCAGTCTTATCTTGCATCTGGTTGCTGTTTTTAAACAAAACTACCTAAAAAAAAAAAAGATTAGTTCAGCAACTGAAAAAGAAACTAGTAAAGACAAAAAAAAAAGCTAGTACTTATTCTAAAGACCAGCTGAGTTTTATCTTGCATTTGGTCACTACTTTCAAACAAGAAATATCTAAAGAAAAAAATTAGTTGTAGCAACTGAAAGAGAAACTGATGAAAGACAACAACAAAAAAAAAAAGGAAATAAATACTTATCTTTAAGACAAGCCTAGTTTCATCTCACAATTACTGCTTTCAACTTAAAAAAAAATATTAGTTTCAGCAACTGAAAAAGAAACTAATGAAAGAGAAAAAAAAAGCCAGTTCTTATCCTTAAGACTAGTCTAGTCTCATCTCACATCTGATCACTATTTTCAAACAAGAATTATCTAAAAAAAAAAAAATTAATATAGCAACTAAAAAGAAACTAGTAAAGACAAAAAAAAAAGCTGATACTTATCCTAAAGACCAGCCTAGTTTTATCTTACATCTAGTTACTGCTTTCAAACAAAAAATATTAAAAAAAAAAATTAGTTGCAGCAACTGAAAGAGAAATTAATAAAAGACAATAACAAAAAAAAAAGATAAATACTTATCCTTAAGACAAGCCCAGTCTCATCTTATATTCAATCACTGCTTTTAACCTAAAAATAAAAATTAGTTCTGGCAACTAAAAAAGAAATTAATAAATACAAAAAAAAAAAATTAGTTCTGGCAACTGAAAGAGAAATTAATGAATACAAAAAAAAAAAAAGCCAGTACTTAACCTTAAAACAAATCTAGTCCTATCTTGTATTTGGTTGCTGTTTTCAAACAAGAACTACTTAAAAAAAAAAAAAATTAGTTCAGCAACTGAAAAGAAACTAGTAAAGATAAAAAAAAAAGCTGTTACTTATCCTAAGGACCAGATTGGTTTATCTTATATTCAGTTACTGCTTTTAAACAAGAAATGTCTAAAGAAAAAAAAAAATAGTTGTGGCAACTGAAAGAAAAACTGATGAAAGATAATAACAAAAGAAAAGACAAATACTTATTTTTATTTTATATTTAATTACTGCTTTCAATCTAAAGAAAAAAAAAGATTAGTTCTAGCAATTAAAAGAAAAACTAATAAAGATAAAAAAACAAAGCTAATACTTATCTTAACCAGTCCTAGTCTATTCTATTTCAATTATATTATTAAATAAAAAAACAAACCTTCTAAAAAAAAAGAAAAAAGCTAATACTAATTACTGAAATAAAATCAAAAAAAAGATTAAAAAAGAAAAATCAAAAAAAAATCAAAAAACCAAAATTAAAAAAAAACTCAAAATCAAAAAAAGGATCTAAAAAACAAAAAAAAATATTGATATTATAAAAATATTACAAGTATTAGATTATTTTGTTGATCTAAATTTATATACTGCCAACTAATTCAATATAATGATTGATGAAAACCTTGGTTGTAATTTGTCATAATTTATTATAAAGCTCGACTACAAGTTTAGGTTTAAATTATAAACATCAAAATGTATTGATCAGTTATTATTTCAGCTAATAATACCAATACCATAGATATTTGCTTTTCGTTAAATTGTTTATTATCTAACAAAACTTCTGGAGATGATACAGTCATGTTTGAAGTTGCATTGATTTAAATTAGCTTCTAAAATTAGATCATCTTGTATGCATTAATTAGCAAGTTTAGGCAGTTCAACTTCAAGCAGATGCTAACTTCAAGCATAACAATATTATAAATAATGCTTTTTAAACTAGTCTCATTCATTTCTTTAGATAATCCTAGTTCTGAAATATAGGTGGCATTTTGATGTCAAAGAATGTTATTATTATAAAAGTTAGTATAAATATACACTATATCATGAAAAAGCTAAACTAACCTGCTGTTAAAATCATTGGCCTACTTGCTGTTAAAATCAATAATTCACTACTTTTGAATTACTAAACTGCCTACCCACTATTGTAATCATGAACTAAAAATAACCATTACATCAGTTCCAGCAAGAAAAAAAAAGAAGTGTTGATTAAGTAAAAAGAATAAAAAAAGAATGAATAAAAGAAAAACCAAATAAAAATACACAAACCTATTAATATAGTGATTCTGAAAACAATGAAATTTTTAATGTTGATTAAATACTTCAAATCTATTTTTTGTTTGGAAACAATTAAACATCTAAAATATATATATATATTTTTTGATATTTAGATAAAATTTTGCAAATAACTTTATTTATTATTAATACTTTCATTATATATATTACTATATTTTTGTATTTATATATATCAAGTATACCAAGCTCAGACTCAGATCCTATTGGTTATGCTCTGGCTGAAACCATTACTTGTGCAATAGGTGTTCCCATCTGCTATCTGGCCACCAATCCATTATTTGTGATTTAAACCTACCAGAGCAGTATGTCCTTATGGATAGTACTCATCTGATATTTTTTTACCTTTCACTAATCCTATTTTGGTATACTTCTCTATAATGTTATTTTCTGCATCTCTTATACTACTTATATCTAAGCTTTCAAATTTGATAATTCCTTCTGAAATATGGCCTTGTAGACTTATAAACTACATCCAATCTTAATTATCTTCAGCTAGTCTGTCCAGGTAGTATTATAAAGAGAAACTCATACTTAGTAATATACATTTTGACTGTTCAAAAGCTTTTTTGGCACTGTTCAACATCTAAGTGTCCAAGTGTTCACAAGTGTCCAAAGCTTGTCCAAGCATTAATAATTAATAAATTTGTTTAAAAAATATATAATTATATATTTTTTTAGATGCAAAACATATTTTATTTAAGAAATAATATAGGTTATCTTAATAAAATTTTGAGTAATTTTAATTTATTTAATTGTCTACAATTGTCCAAAGTGTCCAAACTTACTGTCTACAACTGTTCTGTGACAATACTGCATACTGGCCTAGGTTAAGCCTTATCATTAACACCTAGTTTAGTTAGTATGCTACCGATTTCTATTATCTCATAGGTAGGTAATTTTGTATATTAGTGCAAACTTGCTATGTTGTATTATAGGTAGTGTTCTGTATGATTCAGACCAGACAGGTATTTTTAAAGATTTGGACCTGGTCTAAACATTGATTCAGATCTAAAGTTAGAGTCTAAACTCATATTACTTAGATCTGAGTTCAGTCTGGATCTGTAAAATTTCAAAAATTTATAGATGCTATAGTTGATGAAGCTCTAGTATTTACATTAAAAAAAACGATTACAGCTGTTTTTATAAATTTTGGGACATTTGATATAATTTAGCCAAATGATTTTTCGTTAACCAGTTGTAAAGCCACAGAAAGGTTGTAAAAATTTAAAACTTTTTATAAATAAATCAATACTATATAAAATATATTTAAATATATTTAAATTAATAAATAAATAAATTATATATTTATGAATTAAATTAGAAAATATGAGATTTTTGTTAGGAAAATGACTCTTCAAGGCAATATTGATTTTGTGAATAGAAATTAAATATGCCAGCCATCTAGTCATCGAATTCGAATGATCTTTGATCTTTTTTTATTTGTGGAGCTCATTTAGCTCTATAAAATAAATTTTTATTCACAAAATCAACATAGCCTTGAAGGGTTATTTTCTTAGCAAAGATCCCACATATAATAATAAATTAAATTCTTATTATGAAACAGCTGTAAAAAAAAGAGAAAATTCTAAAATCAGCTAATCAGCAATCAGTATTATTCTAATAGGACTGGACCAGATATTACCTGAGTGGATCTTCATATAGGTCTGAACTTATATCGATTCTGATAAATCAAGGGTCTGAACTTGGTCTGTCAACGGACCGGACTGGACCCAGATCTTTTGCGAAACACTAGTTATAGGTTATCTCATAATTTCCAAATTGCAGTTTTCATATTACTTTTTTTTTTTTGAATATTAATGGTGAGATTATATCTTTGACTTTATTAAAATTTAATTTAATTCTTTTACAATGAAGAAAAATCCTTACAAGAAAAGAATCTATTTAAATTTTATATCCTAAGATAACAAGAAAAGAAACTCAGACTAGTTTATCTGTGGCCTAAACCAATATATTACTTTTCTTCTATCCCTTAAATTGTAATAGAATACAGTCAAATTTGTCTGCATTTTTGCACTTTTTTGGCTCTGATTTATTTTTATAAAAAACTAAAATAATTAAATAAAACTTTGTACAATTATATTTGAAAATAAGAATTACTTTTTTGCAATATTTATTTTTAGATTATAAGAAAAAAATTTTAGATTACTTATGAATCTAAAATATACAATTTTAAAAATAATTTATAAAGAAAAAATTTTTTAGTTTATTTATAACAAATTTTTTAAATATTAATTTAAGAGGGATAGGGTCCTATAGCCTAGTGGTCTAGGCGCCCTCCCTCCACAGACAAGGTCAACAGTTCAATTCCAGCTGGAAGTAAAACTCTGTAATCTACGGAAGCATATGAATGTACATGAAGCCTTGTAGCAAAGTCCATATGATTAGAAGATCGGTATACAAGGAAGTTTCTGAAAAAGAGCCTCCTGATATGGAGAGTTGGCGCTCGATGCGAGAGAAGCAGGGAACATATCAGAAATGGAGAGAAGACGCACTAGCAGATGATACGGTGAACATAAAAGAAAGCTGTGGGAAAGAAATGGACTTACTGAAATTCGAACACCTCTGGCAATACCAGTTTCAATAAATACGGATTACATCGAAACTGAATAAAAAATCTAAAACGGTAATCTTGGTACCATACTTAGTAGTTTGTGTCGAGGGTGACACCTTGGACTATGGATACATGGTAACACCTGTGAGGTGGTACTTTGATATAAATAGTATCGAGAAGCCCCTAACCTGTATGTCACAAAAATGGTAATGTAATTGTTGTATAATATACAAATAGTGTTGAAGATCAGAAAGTTTAAATAGGGGACCCAGAGGCGGGTCTTAGGTATGGCATCTAGTGAGTAACCTACAGGCGGAACCCTTAATTAGATAATGACTAAAGTTATATGTGTGACTAGTTGTACTTTCGTCGATAGACTACTGTATAATAATATGTAACTATTCATTATTCACTAATAAAGACATTCAGGCAAGATGCCGCTTAAAAAAAAAATATATATATTAATTTAAGACTTATAGTTTCTAATATAATTTTATAGTTTGAATTAAGGATTATAATTTTAATTATTATAAATTTTGTAATTTACTTGTAAAAATTAATACTTGTCTTAAGAGCAAAAATTTTTTCTAGCTTCAGGAATATATAAAATCTTAGAAAACCTAAAAATTTTTTAATACTAAACTCTAATATTATACAAACTTTAAACTTTAATTAATCAAAAATTTTTTAATAAATTTAAAAATTTTTTTTAATAAAGTTGATAAAGTAGATCTTTAAAAGTATTTTTTAATTAAAAAGTATATTGCTAAAATTAATATTTGAAATTTTATTAAAAAAATAGTTTAAAAAAATAAACACAGACAAATTTGCCTGTATTATAATTTAAAAAATAGGACTACTAGCATAGTTAACCAATTTATCTTCAAGTGCATTACCTGCTAGAGCAGTCTAGTACTTACTATTCCTATATTGCCTAGTCTTTTTCGATAACTTATACTGAGTCCAAGGACAAGTACTTGTGAGCCAAGGCCACTACAGTTACCTACTACTGCTCTTATAGAGTTCACCTAAATTCTGGTACACCTACAAACTTTTTTTGGTTTCCTAGCTATCCCAAACTACCAATTCAGATAGCCCAGAAGGGCTATGACCTGCTTCTAATCTCTACGATTGAAACCTTTTCCTCCAGTTACTCCTTTGGCAACCTGGTTAGTAGAGTGCCTTGCCGAACACTTCGGTCCCATTCAGTTTATCCGGTTTTCCAGGTATTAATCTGTATATAGTACTGTTGAAGTTCTGTACTATCTCTATTCAAGACTTCCCAAACAAGCACTCTATCACCATATTGGCCCTGTGGCTTTTTGTGATTCCAAAAGACTTATTTTGGATTTGCACCGACTAAACTGGCTTCTATGTCTTTGTATAACTCTTTTATTATACAAATGTCCTAGAATCTTCCAATTTTTATTTTGATACAACCACAGTTACAAGGTCTCGAGTTTTCCCAACCATGATGATAGTTGCCGAATCTGTTTTTCTAAATTCAATTTTTCACTTTTCGTGGGAATTAAACTTATACTCTACCACTTGAGGATACGACAACTTCATCACTTCACTAAGTCACCATACCTACATGATTTATAATATTATAAGGTAGAAGTTCTGTTATATCTTTAACTAATAATGCAATAAACTTTACAAGGTATAATCCATATGCTTTAAATATTTTATAGAAGTTAAATAAGTTAAACAAGTTAGATTATGAGGAATCAGCCTTGCTATATGAATATAGCCATCTTAGTGCTTGTTAACTAAAATAGTAAAAGGGTATGAACTAGTTTTTTTTCTAAAAAAAATAGCCAATAGCTTATTTTGTTTGTTCATTTTAAACTTATAAAAAAAAACAACAAAATAACTGTTTCTATGAAAAAATATATACAAAAATAATAAAGAAAATTACAAATAATATATGAA